GTGACGAGCCACCCCCCAAGGGGGAGTGAAATAACCATCACCCGGCCACCCAAACCACAAACAGCCCTCATACCTAGGAGCATTGTTTGCCCCTGTGTGAGGGCTTAAAGCAATCTAGCAAAGCTGGTGACAGCGGTGAATATGAAAAATAATAATACTAATAATAATAACAACAAGCAGGAAAGTCCAACACGAGGTGTTAGATAAGCGCGGTATGATCATGAATAATCCTAATTTAACCGACGATTTATGAGGGGAAAAGGAAGTTTAATCGATGAGTGACAACTTGAACTTCTTAATTGAGGGAAGCTATGAAGTATATGGTGTCAAAAGGAAAACGAAAACATTTCCATGTAAATATGAGCTGCGAAGCTGAAAATATAAACATTCGTCGCATAAAATAAAATTATATCCCAAGTAATAGGTGTTAAGAAAAATATATTGACATTAATTTAAAGTTCACCTGTCTTCAACATTACTATCGGGAAAACGCAAGATATAGACAAAAAAATTTTAAAAAATCGATTCAAAATAATGGATATTTTTCGTAGTTCAATGCAACTTCTGTCATCACAGCTTGCGTTTGGTTGATTTATGGTCAGCCGCAAATAAAGTGAACGTTAATTTGACCCCATGAGAGAGTTTAAACACAACTCATATGCTACTTGAGGCAACGAGACCATGTTTAACAAGAATGAATTTATCCATTTCAGAAGCTAAGACAGCACTTTGGGCCTCATTCACAATCTTGAGTTTGAGAATTTCGAAAATTGAACTTAAAATTCGAGTTGCTGGTCGAAAAATACCTCCTGGTACCAAGTTTTACGAAAATCGATGCAATAAGATCCACTCGTGAACGTATGGCGGTCGGACTGTACTGCTTGTTTGAGTTGACTGTGTGACTGATGATATGTACGTCCGTGCACTAGCAATGGGTGCCACGGGTGCATTTAGCTCAGGCATATGGAGTATCGAGCGTGCGGTATACTCAAACTGTTCCTTACTCTATTAGTGGCACACACTACACACTATGCTACTGGTTTTCGCGTGTGTGACGACGATAGAGTAGGCAAGATCAGCTGGGGTGAGATGGGACCAGGCATTAATAATAATAATAATTACCTCTTCTTCCCTATCAACATTTGAAAAGTAAAGAGTATATTTCACAACAGTTCTTGCTAGATTCTTTTTTTCATTTTTCTAATTTTCTAGTCTCAACTTTTTTTCTTTTTTTTTCGCAATTGCGGAATGTAAAGAATTTCTGGTAACTTGAATGAGTCTAATTGTAACTTGTAATGTTTATGACCATTTTTCGTAATTTTTGTGACCTCATAGGCAATCAAATTGTCCTAAGTAAAGAAAGTTTCTAAAAATTAATTTCATCATTATATTTTGTCCCACTTTTGAAAATAGGAAGGAAATCAAGGTACTCTAAGTTCTAAAATGCCAACTATTTCTCACCAGGCAGTCGCTCTGCCTCATGGCAAAATAGGTGATTTTACTTACCTCATTTTTACTCTCAAGAACCATCTAATTTTTAAGACCTTTCTTTAGAGGTTTTTTTCCCCTTCACTTCCCAAGATCCGCCTTTTGTTTACTGCGATTTGTGGACTGTGAGATCTGGCATTTTTTGCATCTCCGAAGCAAATTTTGACCTTCTTTAATTGTGGTCTGAGGTTCACTTATCAGTTATTGATGGATCATCACCTTTTATCCAAATATCATCTACAAAATAAAGTGTGGTGTTGTCTGTGAATTAATAAGTATAGTATGTGTGTGTATTAGAGTAGTAAATCTTAGTGTATCAACTGAATCCATAATTTTATCTGCAGGTGTTTCAACCAAGATTAACTTTTACCGCATCTCTTTGGACAGAATAATTTTTAATTCTGATGGCTTACGCAAGCTTAATGGATTTCACAGTGTGAAACATCAACAGCAAAATTGTAAGTGCTCATTAATGAATTTATTCTTTCTTGCCTTGTAAAAAACTGAGGATGTCAAATCTGGGAGATTGATATTTTTTTTATTTGCCAATTTAGACATGGATCTCAACCTATGGATGTCACATTGATTCTATAATTAATTTTTACACCTAAGTGCAATATTTTTTGGCATTATTTTGAACTTTGGCAATCATGAGCAGAAGAAAAGGGGGCCACAAATGTATTGGGTCCCTCCCAAGAAATGTGAGGGCTTATGCTGAATGAGTGAGGTACGTAACATTAATTTTCTGGTGAAAATAGCTCAAAATTATTACTTCTGAGCAGACACAATTTTTAAATTATTCCGAGGAGGTCATGCGAACTTGTTTTTGGAGCTAAAGAAATCCCCCGAGGACTCCAACAGAGCTGGGAGAGTCCCATAAATCTCTCTTGATCGGGTGTATCTTAATGCCGCACAGATTCCCCCTGCTTAGGTGCCCCCATAGAAAGTTCCTAGGTCCACCCATGTTGGCAACGTTACTCTCTCACCTGGACAATGCCACATAGTCCTTTCAAGTGTTTTCACAAATCTCATTTAAAAATTTCATTTCACTCAAAATGATGCTTCACAGTGTGAGGTGCAACAAGAACATGAACCTCTAGCAAAGAAAAATTTACCTGCAGGGTGTCTACAAGACCTGAATTTCCGGAAAGTCCGGGAAAAGAACTGATTTTTTAAGGACGGTCTGGAAGTACTGAAGAAGTGCGGAAATTCCACAAAAGGGTCAGGAATTTTTTCATTTTTTCGTCATTTTTGTCGAAATTTGAGCGAGAAATTCTAATTTTTGAAATTTGTCGAATTTTGTCGAATGGAAGTACTGAAGAAGTACTGAATTTATCTGTTGAAGAAGTACCGAATTTCTTGGAATTGTACTGAAATAGTACTGTAAATGTACTGATTTTCGGCTAGCCTGTTTTAGTAGACACCCTGGTTCCTGATTTCTACTGACATCTCTCTTTATCATATAACTGATTAATTGTACTTTTTGTATATGTTTTATTAGGTCCTCATGGCACGTACATCATTCAGTATCAATTGTCCAAAGTTGATCCTAAATTTAGGCTTGAGAAAACATGGCCTGTTCGGCATACATCTAGAAGGACATTAGCTAATGGTAATTTTCATTTTTAGAATCCTTAGTATTTGTTTCTTAAGCTGCATCTTCATGTAGCTGCATTCTGCATTTCAGCTTCATTCTTTGGTTAAAATCTACTTTAATTTCATTTTATTCTTACATTATATCTATACTATAAGCTCTCAGGTCTCCTAAATTTTTTTTTTCTGGTATCAGTTCGTTTCTAGGACCTCTAGGGTTCTGCCGGATCGATTTTCATGATTTGTACAGCTGTCAACAGGGGATTGTCTCTAGATGAGCCCGCTTTATCCTGATTTTGGGAACATGGCCGAGGTTTTTTGTGTATAACGTGGTAAAATTGCAAATTTTCCCCTTAAAACAATGCAAATTTTTATTACATGTCACAGTTCATTTTAGCGGTGTGCCGACAAAATCCGGCCGCAAATATCCCGCGCGACGAAATCCCTCCGTATGATGATTCCTCTAAAATCCCGCGTTTTTAAAGAAATGCGTGTTCCTTCCAAATAAAGCGAAGATGCTTTCAAAGAAGTGTTCGAAGAAATTTTAAATTTAAAGCCTACTCTTAAACCAACATCGATCATGAAAGATTTTGAGAAAGCAGCCGAAAATGCCGCGCGCGAGGTTTTTGGTAAAGAATGTCGGGTGCATGGATGTTTTTTTCACTTCTCCGAATACGTGTGGCGGCTCGCACAATCATGCGTTCTACAAGAGAAGTACTCAAGTGATCCAGAATTCGCTCTGAACAAAAAACATCTGTCCTTTTTGGCTTTTGTTCCAGAAGAGGCGGTGGACAATGCATTTCAAATTTTACTGGACTCCGAATTTTATAAAAAAAAAAAAACGAAGATCTCCTGACCGTTTTAATTAACTACTTCGAAGATACGTGGATTGGGCGCTTCGACAGGCGCGGGCGTAAGCGAAAACCTCTTTTTCCAATTGAAATGTGGAACTGTTTTTTATCAGTCGCGGGTGGACTGCCTCGCACCAATAACCCAGTCGAAGGTGCAATGAGCTAGCCGCCATAACGCCAAGCACCCATCTATGTGGAAGGTAATAAATGTATTTAAAAAAGAGGAATGAGTGTGCAGAAAAAAAATTGAAGATGTTGCTGGGAAACCCCTTCCTCCGCAACCAAAAAAGTACCGCGATCTTTCGCAACGGCTTGAAACTATCTGCGCTGACTTCCAAAACCGCCCAGTAGATGAGTTCTTGCGCGATACTGCACAGAACTTAAGCTAAGTTCTAAACTAAATTCTGTTAATTTTAATGTTTTCATCATTTTGACAAGGGCTCCATACACCCGCTCTATTCTTTTATCACTCTCGGTCGCGCAACCAATTTTCTAATACTCTCGTCATGACACTCACAAGGATCAGCTTATGGAACATGGAACAATGGAAGGTAAAATCTCCAACTTTTAATGGTGTGTATTACTTTTTCATTTATGGCGGAATTATGTCCGCGGGATTTTTTTCAGTCGGGATTTCGTCGCGGAGATTTTGACCGCGGGATTATGTCGGTAAATCCGTTCTAGCATTCTACTGGGCCGATTTTCATGATTTTTGCGGCAGGGTGATAGTCTGTTGGTGAGCCTACTTTATTCAGATACCGGTAACAGATACCGGTAAGTATGACTCAGGTTTTTTATAACCATTTTATAAAAGTGAATGAATCGACAGAATGATTCGGGCGACTCCCTCCCTAGTCACTGCTGCCAGAAGATTGCGCATCGGCCAATTGGCGTATACATTACCGCTACTCTTTGAACACAAGATTCACAGCATCTTCAACATCACAGGTAGTCTAACGGGTAAAAGCATCACAATGCATGTTTTAATTCCCGAGTCGGGATTTCAAATACGATCAGGGCAAGACTTCTGTAACCCTATGTAAAATACTTGTTATTGTTTCAATGAAATTGCGGATTGATTGATCTTTGTGATCGATTTTTGAATCGATCATTTCTTCAAAAACGCATTTGACTGGGACGTCAGTCCCATCGGGTGGAGGAAAGTGACAATCTGTGGCTCTTCTTCCGCGATTTGACTCGCTGAAGTAGCAAAAGTTCATCCTTACTTTCTAAGAAAATTATCGGTGGCCCTGGGGTCTAAAAACTGCTCAACGATAGTGTAGTTCGGGTTCCGAATCGCTATGAGCCCACTTGTGTTTTTTCTTATATTTTCATTGCATATATTTTCTCTGATGTTTTTGTTTTATTCTCTTTGATTGCAGAAGCAATTATATCCTTATTTCATTTCCTTTCCCTTCAATTTTTTCCTTTTTTTTTAACATCTGTGTCCATTCACAATTATTATTTAAAAATAGCTTCCCCTAGAATACATTTGATGCTTCAAACGGAACCAATTTGTTTTATTAATGACATTTCCGGCTAAATCATGGGTTTTCCCAGGAACGCCTCTTGTCCCTCCCAGACTCTACTGTTGGCAGATAACTTGCTTTTTCAGCACTTTTCCCAGTTCAAACCCATGTAAAGTATTCAACTTTATCGCACAATCTGGCAACCCCTTGAAGGAAATAGAAAAAGGTGGAATCGTCTGAAAAAATGAATCCTTCAAAGTTTATATTATTGATACACACACACACACACTAACATATATAAAATAAAGAAATGACTGTTACCTAGTACATATTCACATATGCACGGTGCAGGAGCCATCCAGTCAATACAAACTCTTCAAATTTAAACAAGTTTATTACAATTTGAAAGTTACATGTACCGCAGACGTTTCGGTGCCATCATGCAGACACCATCATCAGTGCAAGAAAAATATAAACAATTACAAATTCGAATATGATACAAGCGCTGCTCGTAAAATGCTGTTCATTTTGTTATGGTGGGAATAATAAGCCACCGAAACTTCGCATTGTAAAAAAATTTTTTGTTTATAATAAATAAAAAGTTACGGTTATACAACTCATGAAGTTCGCTATATATATATATATATATATATA